CAAAATCCCTGAAGAACGACAATATTAGTCTCTAATCGTTCAGTAAACTCAACGATTTTTTTGGAAACATTGTGTTTTTATTAATTACAAAACTGCGTGTAATTTATTTTATTTGACCAACATCCCACCACTGCTGCTGGGACGTAAACTGAGATTTCACGGTACTCCATAGATTCCAAGATACAGAAAGCCTTTTTTAAAAACAACGATTTAATAGAACAGTGTTAATGAGCCTTTATGCCCTCTCATGGTGCGTTCAAACCGCACGCTGTGGTTGTTTCAAACATGGTGGATTCACTAAAGTGAACTAAAGTGGAGTTTTTGGGGCTTTTACAAAAAATCAATGGTCTCCCAAAGACTGTTCAAAGGTTGTTCATAGAGAGCAATTGAGCAGCAGTCTGTGATGTTAAGTTTCAGCTGTGCTTTTATTTTGAAATGCTGACAGCAACACCTTGACAGGAAATGACATAAGGTTGCCAGGTTTAAGGCAGGACCAAAGTGATGGGTCTGGGAGGCTGTTTGTTTACTAAATATCAAACAATCGTTCCAGCCGCTAAATAAGGGAAACATGCCAACTGTTATATTCAATACCAGCACAGGAATAACATGTGATGTTATGCAATAACTTTATATCAGGAAATGAGCCCAGCACAAACGTCTGCTGGGATGGTGATGTCAACGGCAAACAATAATTTTACCTGCAGAAATCAAGTAGCACTGAAAAAGTACATAAATTAGATTCAATTTGGAGCTTAATGGGGGATAGTTGACCTCTGGGTGACCTAAAAAATAAGCTTTACATTTTTCTAAACACATCAAAGATGCTCTTCAAACCTCTGGACACCCAAACTGGGCGTTGGTCAAATCAGCAAGGAAATCCTAAAGACACGCAGCAGAACATAACGGTTAGATTAAATGCAAAAACATCTCCATTCCATATGTTGCTGGAGTCTCTGAAGAACTCAAGAGGATTTTCTCCAAACACAAAATCCCAGCACATTTCTAACCAAACAAGACCCTTAAACAGAGACAAGTGCTTCCTAAAGATAAAACCCCCTGACCGAATATGAGCAGAGTGGTCCATGCAGCCTAATGCAGAGAGAAATGGTCTGATCTTTATATTGGAGAAAGCAAACAACCTCTCCACCAACGCATGACCCAACACAGCAGATCGACCTCCTCCAGACAAGAGTCGAGGTTACATCTACACCGTTGATGGATTCAAATAATTGAATTATTTGTTCAACTCTTCATTGTCCTGTTTTAGAGTCATAAACACTTGTCTGCTAAAGCAAACGTGTTTCAACTTTGCTGATTTAACCAGACATTTTCATTGCTGACACAATTTGACCATGATGTCACAATTCCTTCAGAAACTTATCATCGCTGATTAAAGGAGGCAGCTTAAAAAGAATCATTCTTTTGCTTGGTTTATTAGAGGGAAGACAGTAGTTTCCATATTTCTCAATACAATTCCCCCCTCAACTAAGCTGTACACCTTATTTATAGAGTCCAGAAGCATACTGCTACAACTGTATCATTGACACTTTTACAACAGGGACGTTCCCTAACAGCTAAATCATACTCCTCACCCAAAAAGTCACGTCAACCGCTATTTTGATACAATGCTGATGATGGGAAAGGCTCCTAAAGCCTTTGGAACCAGTGCTAAAAGTGTGGTATTGCTCAAAAAGAAGCTCAATGAATGAAGACCGTGCTGAAAGTTTGAACAAATGAATCACCACAGTAAAAAGGGAATTCTTAAGAAAGCTCACACTGACAAGACGCACAGAAGAGACAGACAGATGGACGTATACAGGTCTCCGTCCTTTAGCCCAGCTACCTGGTGCCGCCTCTCTCTGAAAAAGCATTGACGTCTGATAAAGGCTTCCAGACTAATTAGCAGATCAGACCAGCTGTGCAGGGAGCATCAGAGCAGGCCCAGACTATCTCACTACCACTACCATGTCTGACTGCTGGTACCAGGGAGTCATAACTGAAGAAGATTTAATAGACACATATTCTATGGATCCAACAGTCAGTCTGCTGAACACTTTCCTCCAGAGTAGAGGGAGCTTTGTTGATGATTGTGATCTTTTGGCTCAATTCAGTTCAATTTAATTCAGTTTATTTATATAGCAGCAATTCACAATGCATGTACTCTCAAGGCACTTTACAGTTCACCAGATCATCCAGTCAAACTGATTAAAAGTTTTCTATCTAAGGAAAACCAGTTGATTGCATCGACTCATCGACTCGAAGGCAATCCCTCACACTAAGCATGCTTGTAGCGATAGTGGCATGGGCGTAGGTTTGCATAGGGACCATAGGGACATGTCCCTAACAAAGTTTTGAACCGACCTAATTGTCCCTACCAATAATTGGATGTGAGCAACATGCTTATAATTTACAGCAGTAGTTGTTGCAGCAGTGGATTCTTTTCCTCTCGCAGCTCCTCTGCCTGGTCTCTCCTGTCCCTTTCACCTAGCAGCGCATGGAACTGTGCTGCGCTGTTTAACTCCACTCTCATTGGTTGTTCTGCCTTAGGTCCCGCCTTCTCTCTCTCTGATTGGCTGTTTTCTGGTCCGCGTGTGCTTGGAGCACAAAATTTTAAATGTATTCACACTAGAATGCTGCGGTTAGTACAATTAATATTAGGCTACAAAACAAGTCCCAATTAAAAAAAATGAATATCATGTACACTAAAAAAACTTTTTTTTCTTTTATAAAACGAAATATTCTGAGTCAGCCAGGAGTTCTGAAGACTGCTGAAAAAATGGGCAAATAAAGGCTGTAAGCCATCAACATTTCTGATTCTTAGCCACAGCCAACTAAAAATGAAAATGTGAGGGTTTCCATTTTACCGATATTTAGTAGCTGTTACTGGTTTCATTTTTTTATGACTCTTTGAGAAAGTTCAGGTACAATTATTAGCAGGTGTTATTTCTCTTATAGAGTACAACAACAAGAAATGGTGCCTAAACATCTGCTTTGTTTTTGTTTAAAAAGCATAATTAGGGTTCCATATAATAATAATAATTTAATTGACTATTTATACTTCTAGAAATAGGATAAAGACAAGAACAAACAGAGGAAGAATATTAACATT